TCAATTTTGTCACTTTTTTCTTCGAGGGTTTATCCAAATGGATTGAAACTTTGCATAAATATTTTAATTCTTAAAATAAATACAAATAAAACATCCAAAAAATATTTTGAGCAAAGAACCAAGTAGGAAATACATTTTAAATTTTGGACTAGGGGCGACCCTAGTCAAAATCAATTTTGTCAATTTTTTCTTCGAAAGTTTATCCAAATGGATTGAAACTTTGCATAAATATTTTAGTGCTTAAAACAAATACAAATCAAACATCTTAAAATTTTTATGAGCAAAGGACCAAGTAGGAAATACATTTTCAATTTTGGACTAGGGGTGACCCTAGTCAAAATCAATTTTGTCACTTTTTTCTTCGAGGGTTTATCCAAATGAATTGAAACTTTGCATAAATATTCTAATGCTTAAAACAAATACAAATAAAACATTAAAAAAATTTTTTGAGCAAAGAACCAAGGAGGAAATACATTTTCAATTTTGGACTAGGGGCAACCCTAGTCAAAATCAATTTTCTCAATTTTTTCTTCGAAAGTTTATCCAAATGGATTGAAACTTTGCATAAATATTCTAATGCTTAAACCAAATACAAATAAAACATCTTAAAATTTTTTTGAGCAAAGAACCAAGTAGGAAATACATTTTCAATTTTAGACTAGGGGTGACCCTAGTCAAAATCAATTTTGTCACTTTTTTCTTCGAGGGTTTATCCAAATGGATTGAAACTTTGCATAAATATTTTAATTCTTAAAATAAATACAAATAAAACATCCAAAAAATATTTTGAGCAAAGAACCAAGTAGGAAATACATTTTCAATTTTGGACTAGGGGCGACCCTAGTCAAAATCAATTTTGTCACTTTTTTCTTCGAGGGTTTATCCAAATGGATTGAAACTTTGCATAAATATTTTAATGCTTAAAACAAATACAAATAAAACAACCTAAAATTTTTTTGAGCAAAGAACCAAATAGGAAATACATTTTCAATTTTGGACTAGGGGCGACCCTAGTCAAAATCAATTTTCTCAATTTTTTCTTCGAAAGTTTATCCAAATGGATTGAAACTTTGCATAAATATTATAGTACTTAAAACAAATACAAATAAAACATCCAAAAAATATTTTGAGCAAAGAACCAAGTAGGAAATACATTTTCAATTTTGGACTAGGGGTGACCCTAGTCAAAATCAATTTTCTCAATTTTTTCTTCGAAAGTTTATCCAAATGGATTGAAACTTTGCATAAATATTCTAATGCTTAAAACAAATACAAATAAAACATCTTAAAATTTTTTTGAGCAAAGAACCAAGTAGGAAATACATTTTCAATTTTGGACTAGGGGTGACCTAGTCAAAATCAATTTTGTCACTTTTTTCTTCGAGGGTTTATCCAAATGGATTGAAACTTTGCATAAATATTTTAATTCTTAAAATAAATACAAATAAAACATCCAAAAAATATTTTGAGCAAAGAACCAAGTAGGAAATACATTTTAAATTTTGGACTAGGGGCGACCCTAGTCAAAATCAATTTTGTCAATTTTTTCTTCGAAAGTTTATCCAAATGGATTGAAACTTTGCATAAATATTTTAGTGCTTAAAACAAATACAAATCAAACATCTTAAAATTTTTATGAGCAAAGGACCAAGTAGGAAATACATTTTCAATTTTGGACTAGGGGTGACCCTAGTCAAAATCAATTTTGTCACTTTTTTCTTCGAGGGTTTATCCAAATGAATTGAAACTTTGCATAAATATTCTAATGCTTAAAACAAATACAAATAAAACATTAAAAAAATTTTTTGAGCAAAGAACCAAGGAGGAAATACATTTTCAATTTTGGACTAGGGGCAACCCTAGTCAAAATCAATTTTCTCAATTTTTTCTTCGAAAGTTTATCCAAATGGATTGAAACTTTGCATAAATATTCTAATGCTTAAACCAAATACAAATAAAACATCTTAAAATTTTTTTGAGCAAAGAACCAAGTAGGAAATACATTTTCAATTTTAGACTAGGGGTGACCCTAGTCAAAATCAATTTTGTCACTTTTTTCTTCGAGGGTTTATCCAAATGGATTGAAACTTTGCATAAATATTTTAATTCTTAAAATAAATACAAATAAAACATCCAAAAAATATTTTGAGCAAAGAACCAAGTAGGAAATACATTTTCAATTATGAACTTGGGACAGGTCTAGTCAAAATCTAGTTTTTCACTTTTTTTCTTCGAAGGTTTATCCAATTACATTGAAACTTTGAGTAAGTATACTAATATTTATACAAAACAGTTTTAAATATCTAAAGGAAGAAATGAATTCTATATGTCGTCAGACCCAAATTTTATAAATTTGGTTGTACATTCAAAAACAACGTGACTTAAAATTTTGTCCAAAGAAATGATTTTTATTAATTCAGAAATGTGTGACCTGAGGATTAGAATATCTCATACAAAATTTTACTGTATTTGGATTTATCCTCGAAGAAAAAAAAGTGAAAAACTAGATTTTGACTAGACCTGTCCCAAGTTCATAATTGAAAATGTATTTCTTACTTGGTTCTTTGCTCAAAAAATTTTTAAGATGTTTTATTTGTTTTTGTTTTAAGCACTAGAATATTTATGCAAAGTTTCAATCCATTTGGATAAACTTTCGAAGAAAAAATTGAGAAAATTGATTTTGACTAGGGTCGCCCCTAGTCCAAAATTGAAAATGTATTTCCTACTTGGTTCTTTGCTCAAAAAATTTTAGGATGTTTTATTTGTATTTGTTTTAAGCACTTGAATATTTATACAAAGTTTCAATCCATTTGGATAAACCCTCGAAGAAAAAATTGAGAAAATTGATTTTGACTAGGGTCACCCCTAGTCCAAAATTTAAAATGTATTTCCTACTTGGTTCTTTGCTCAAAAAAATTTTAGAATGTTTTATTTGTATTTTTTTTAAGCAATAGAATATTTATGCAAAGTTTCAATTCATTTGGATAAACCCTCGACGAAAAAAGTGAGAAAATTGATTTTGACTAGGGTCGCCCCTAGTCCACATAGAAAAAAAATCACAGTGAACTTTTAATATGAAAAATTCGTAAGAAAGGAAAATATTTTGCTTTTTCTGAAGCAACGGCTGTTCCTACCTTGCTTAAAAACAATACAGCTCTTCTATAGAGTAGCACGGATCAATAATGTAAAAAACTAGAAGTCTCTACAATGTCTCGTTATTGAGATTTCTTGCTGATTAACTTGCTTGTTTGCTTGCTTGCTTGCTTTCAGAAAGCGTATTTTTCGATTTTCTCAGCAACGCCGCAACCAATTTGAAATCTGTTTTTGCATAAGATGTAAAATTTCAGGCACAAACTTTTCTTCTTTATACATTTATAGCTAAAATGCTTCGTTAACTCACAAAATCCAAAAACCTGATTTTTCAATCTGAACAAAAACAAAATATTCACACGTGAAAACGGTGTGAATATAAAAATTGATTTTTTAAAGTACAAAGAGAACTTTTTTTATTTTTTGCTACAGACACGACATAAAAAATATGAATGTCACGTACTTGAATGACTACACACGCATTGTTTTAAGTGAATAAATTTCAAATCAATATTTTTTGCGCATTCTTTCGTTTTAGTGTGTTTATCAGCTGTTATTAACTGAATACAAGAAAATTTCACGCACAATTGAAAGGCACAAGCATTGTCGACAATTAACATATTTTTAACATAAAAGAGACTCTTTTTCTGTTGTTTACAGAACAAAAAGGGATAGAAGAAGCTTCTTGAATTCAAGTGCATAAATTTTCTTGAGACAGGCTTCCCCAAAATGTTGGGAAATTTATAATATTGCTTGGGGGCTATAAAAACTCAATGAGATGTTAAGGAACAAATATTTAAGCGCATTTCCTTAGATTTTATGTTATCTTTATTCTGATGACGTGAGCATTTTTGTAATGAAATGATTACAATCTTGGTTAATGATTATGGATTCATGTTTTCTAAGAATATCGACCATAACGATGAATATTTTCTATCGATTCTGTGTAGATTAAATTTTAACACGTCTTTAAGATTGGAAATACTAAAATGTTCAATAATAATAAATTGTATGATGATCGTTAACTGGATCCAGCAACACCAGCAAAAACCGATCTAAATATTGTTGGTAAGTGGCTCGGATCCCACTGTAAACTGTCAGTCTAGGTATAAGAGATCAGTCTATGTGGAAATCGAACCCGCATTCACACAAACACTCGATCTGTTGCTTAACTACTGATCCACAGACGACTTACTTTCAAACTAGCACATGTACCTGCATATGGCTATCGAGTCCCAGATTTCAATCGAATCTGTAGCGCTATTACTGGATTTTAACCTTCCATCACTAAGAATTAATGTCCATTAAATAACATCCAAACGAAAAAAATCTATAAAAGACAAAGTGTCCCAAATCCAGCACTTAAAAACCTACTAGAACAACAAACAATCTGTTCAGTCAGTTCAGTTAAAAATAAAACAATACTTTAATGGTGACACAGGTGGTAATATTTACTATGTAAACGTGCACAACTGCGTAGACAAACACGAAAAATTCTCAGGACATCCAAACGAATCTTTAAAGTTCCTTTAAAATGAAAAATTGTCTTTAATTTCATCCCAAATATTGACACTCCAATAAGCAGTAATTAATGCATTGAATTAAGAACATTTTTTGTGAGGAAAAATGGAAAATTCCTCTCTCATTTTCAAGACATGTATTTATTTCCATGACGAACGATAAAGTTTTCTACCCACCAGCTGAAAAGAAACATCTGTCATTTTCAAATGCCGCAAAAACTTCAAGAAACAATTAAATTTGAATCTCATAAAAATACTTATTTACATATTTTAGTGTGTTGCGTCGATTTTATTTTTAATTTAACTTTCAGTAACATGATGATGATATGTACATGAGCGTATGTCTGAGGGTGGTTTTTGTGGCAATAAAATTTATCTTTTTAATTAAAAAAAATTTATATATTGTTTGAATTATGATGTTTTTGGAGATAGATTTCATATTTAGATAACATTTGTGAGCTTATGTCTGAAACTTTTCTAATTCAATTAATATCAATTGTGTCAATTTGTCTTTAGATGTTAAGTTTATGTTGGAAGTTATGACATCAAATACATTTATCTTGATTATTTACAGATATTTATTTAAAAAGTTATGGAATAACATTTAGTGAATGTTTATAGCAACAAGCTTGTCAATTAAGTTATTAGATTCCTTTGAATTTTGAAGTTTTTTAATCTCATTCAGCTCCTTATCTTTTTGATTTAAAACTTTCTCTAGATATTTTACAGTCTCTGTTAACTTTCGTTCGTACCTAGATTTTATAAATTTAATCTTTTCACTTTCTTGATCTCTCGTCAATATCAATTCGCGGATAGATGCATCAGCTATTTTAGATTTCTGAAGCTCACTTTCATTTTTAGCATTTAATTCACTTTCTAAAGCTTCGATCTTAGCATTTAACTTCCTGTTACTGATTCTTAAAATGTTAAATTGCTTCTCATAATGCTCTTGTAATTTAAGATGATTCTTAAGCTCATCGTTCCTTGATTCAGTCAATTGCTTTCTAAAATCAATCGCTTGTTTCTGTTTCTGTTCTACAAGATTGTGAAACTGATTCCGTGTATTTCTAATAGACTCTTGAAAGTTCATCTTCATGGTATTATTAATTCTCCGAAATTCATCTCGTTCCTTCATCATTTCATTGGCTTTAAGGATTGTCTCTTCAAGTTGTTTTTGTAGCACCTGATTATTGTAGAGCAGCTCTTGATTTTTCATATTTAAATCATGTATCATGTGATGTTGATTGTAAATTTCTTGTTCAAGTTTTTGTACCTCAAATGGATCAGCTTCTGTATTAACAGCACATGACACAAATTGCTTGTTCCTATCTGTATTTTTAAGAGCATCTTTAAGCTTCTTTAATTCCTTCTCCAACCCAAAAATTATTAAATTTTTATGCATTAAATCCGACTCATATTGTTCCTTAAAGCTCTCATCACAAGCCTTGTCTAGACCGTCATGTGTGTCAATTAAATTTGCCTTCATTGATGAGAGTTTTTCCTTCTTTCGTACTAATTTGTTCCTCAACATCTTACATTTTTCTTTAATTTTCCATCCCTTATGTGACTCTTCTTTCAAGTCATGCTTTAGAGACTCCTTCATATGTATCAGATTGTCTAAGTTTTGATTACATTCACTTAATTGAGCTTTAAGATTTTCATTCTCATTCTTAAAGTCAGCAACTTGATTCTTCAATTCTTCAATCAATTCCATGTTTTCATCGACTGCTGACGTATCAGTTTGGACAAAGATTTTTGTTGCATGCTCACAAATCGTCTCTTCAGGATCAACATGGAATTTTCTCTTTAAACTTTCTGTTTTACGGACTGTGTGTGTTACTTGATATGTTGAATTGAAGTTAATTATAGAATTATCAAAGATTCTTGACCTTTCTAATTCAAGTTCCTTTTGTAGCTTTTGAACTTGAGTCTTTAGAATTGTTACTTCCCTGGCACTGTCATTGATGTTGTTGGATATCGGCTTACATTTTGTTTTCTCTGCATTTTGGGCGAAGCTGTTGATTCAAATAAAAATTAATTTATAACTCAACATTTTTTGATCAATTTTTAATTTTAAGCTTATGTCAAGCTGAATCAGATCAGATCCTTATAGCCCCAATAAAAACTTGAAATCTTACCAAATTGTGTTGAATGTTTCTTCAAAAGATACAGGTGATGCCGTACAGACAATCGTAGTATATGAATTCCCACCAAGTGATGATGCCAACAGTCTTGTCAATAAACTTTCACGGAACCTGACGTTCTTAATATTAGCATTAGGTTTCGATAATTCCCTAATAATCTTTCCAAGTGCCAATAAACTTTTATTGATGTGCAAGCCCTCATTGAATGAATTTTTCGTGATGTCTGGCTTCTCACTACCTGCCAGATCACCAAAAATGAGCTTCGATGATTTTGTATCACCTATAGAATTGGTAGAGTCGATGGAAATACTAAAAATTGTATGTGACCGACTTGAAAATTCATTCAACATCGTTGCAGCAATGTGCTTGTTTCTATTTCCAATTTTCACATATTTTAGTATTTCCTCTTTCGATTTCACAATGAATTCATTCTGATTCGTTTCCAATTGTCCTTGATAGTCGAAAATTTTGATCTCTTTTCTCGATTTATCAAGCAAGTCGTAAATTTTTTCATTATAGATTTCAATAAATCCAACACGAAGGTTGAAGTTCTTGTCATTGAGGACATCAATCGTATCAAATATGTCATCAATAGCCATTTCAATAATTCCTTTCGTGTTATTGTCTCCCATCATTGTGAATGTTTTGCCGCTAGATGTCTGACCATAGGTCAGTATCGTTCCATTGTAGCCATCCAAAGATTTAAGCACATTTTGTGCACACAGTGAGTAAACATCGTGGTTTGTGGAGGACTCGTCAAATACATTAGCTGCAAATGAATTTTAGAAAATGAATAAATTTAAAAAATAAGAATTAAATTTTTGAGTAACTTACAAAATGAGAATTTATGCTTTGAGTTTTTCGATTGAATCTCATTTCCATTAACAATCCACTGGCGAGATTTAATCTCATTTTCCACAATGGGACGAAACTTTACACCAACTTTAATGTTTGACATTTTTAAGAGATCTTTCCTTGATAATCTCAAAAGAGCGAATGTCGCATTATTGATGAAAAAGATAACAACAATATTCATTATTACCTGATAGTTTTTAAAGGCTTAATATTTAAGCTTGTAACAAGTTTACAAATCGAAGTTGTTGCATCAATAATAAATTAAAGTATTCAGGTAGATGTGAGGATTTTTATTAAATAAGGAAGGAATAAAACTAAGGATTACCCTGCGAGATGTAGAAAAACAGGTATCTAGGGATAATTAATTGACAAAAGAGGATCATTAGCCGATCTTTCTCGACATTAACCAATATTTAAAAAAATAATTTTAAGTAAGCTTATTGTAATGCTATCTATGGAAAATAGACTAGCTTTAGACTAGATTTCAACGTTTCTTGCTACTAGGATAGGACGACCTTAGATGCCTTAATGTAGACTCAGTTAAATTTAATAGATTTTATTACAACGAATTTTATTTTTAAGGCCTTGAAACCGGCCCCAGTTGATGAAAAAAAAAGACTTCAAATTATTTTTCTAAGCCCCAATACACTGAATTTTGCGTATAAACTTAAATTTTCATTCAAAAACTTTTCCGATTTCTGCAAAATATCAACATAAAAAACTTTCAAGATATCCACACACACAAAAAATATGTCAGCATCCCACATGTGTACCATTGCACCATGCTCTACTATAACATCTGTTAACTCATCCAAATCAAATGATTTATAAAGCTGTTATCAATTCAAAATGAAACAATCACATGGTGATATTCATATGAAGCATTTTTAAAGGATATGCCATTGTCCCCAAATAAAAATTGAGATAAAAAAATGAAAATTTTCCCCACAATAAAAAAAAAATTCTTTAAATCAAAATCATGAAGGAAGAAAAGTTTGGTTGGTTATACGCACACATGTCATGTCCTCATGTGACGACAAACATATGAACAAAAAAAATATCTGCATTGTGGAAATTATGTGCATAGAAAAAAAAATTCAAAATTTTTATGTTCATTTCAATTCTAAGCACGTAATTCACACTATTTTTTGTTCCAAAAAGATGAAAACTGAAAAAAGTCTCCCTTGGTTTGTGGGTAGCAACAGAAAAAAAATGTTTTCTCGAATGATGCTCGAAAAAAGGGGGGACTTGGAGAACAACAACTTATAAAATTCATTTGAAAATTAAATTTTGTTTTATTCTTAATGCACAAAAGGAAAATTATAATGAAAATCCATTATCCCATCTTTTCACTCATTATGCTTGCTTCATGAGAATGACAAGGCAAATAATTAACTCAGAGGCATCCTTTGACGCAGCGGTTCTCAAACTATATGTCGTGAGAAATTCTCCAGGGTAGGGGAAGTGTGACTATTGCTATGTTAAATTTTTGACTGTTCGTCATTAATCCACACCGCTGATGTAACATAGTTGCACAATCTAAAAGATCTTTTGCTAATTCAATATGACACAAGAGTCGTTAGCAGCATGCCACTAATGATAATTTCTATTTATATCATTCTTATTTCTAGTCTATTTGTTTTTGTAATTAATAATGTAGGGACTAGCGCGTACGCAAGTCCCTGCTACCAAAAATTTCGCGAACGAGTTACTCAGATGTTGAGTAATCGCAGCAGTCATCTCCATCGAAGTGCAATGACAGAGACTCATACTGGGGAAACAGCCTTAATGATCACTGTAATCCCTACGCCAGGTAAGTATGCTTTCACTTAATTTTACTAGTTCTCTTATATAAGTCATTTCTGATTGCTCTTGTGAAGTTTAGTGAGATTTGTATGAAACTGAGATTTCAAGGATATTTCTTCTTGGGAAGTTTAAACATTTCATATAAAAAATTCGTAAAATTCAACAAAAATTCTTTTTTCTCTCGTTTCAGATGAAGGTTCGAATCCCAGTCAGTTCCACTTTTTTTTTTGTTGAGTTTTAATTCTTTTTTGAAACTTGTCTTCTTCTTTTGAAGAAAAAAGATGCTTAAAAAATAGTTTTTTGTAAGAAATTGTCGAAAGTCATAACTGCTTTAAAGTGAGCATTGATTATCGTGTTTTATAGGACTTATGAGGAAAGAAGAAGAAGAAGAAGATGAGGGACTCGATGTAGTAGCTATCTTATTGAGATGAATTCTTATTGACGAATCTGAATGCTTAAGTCAAATTAAACTTTATTTGGTACCATTGTATGTCTAAATATACATGCTCATTCATAAAATCTAATTTTAACAGTCATTATCATGCTTAAGCAAAAATATTTGAAATAATCATCAAAACAACCCCTCCAAGCACTTTTATCTTCTTCCTTTCACGCATAAAAGGTCTTACATACATAAGTCTACCTACCTACATACCCTTAAAATCCCACAAAAATGTAAATACATATCAAACATAATCCACAAACAAATAAATGTCGAGTTGCGTTATTACCTTATATCTATGCATTTTAAATTTCGTTCATGTTTCGATGACAACGCAACAATTTTTGCTTTTGTTATTTTAAATAAATAACAACAATTTTACATTAAGTTTAAGTAAGCAAGAATTAATTAAATTGTTTTAAAGTGTGAATTATAATTTTTTGGCATAAAAGGAACACAAAGGAATTTAAAGGATTAACAATGGTAAGAAGGAAATTGAAGTAATTAAATAATTTTTTTTTGTAACTACAGTCTGCAATTTCTCATATATTAATTACACTTTATGTCCACAAAAGCAAACATTCATTGTTCAAACATGATAAAGATAAACATTTAATTTCAATCCAGTCAACAAACATGACTTATACTGCTTAGTTTTTTTGTTCTTACCATCATGCACAATAGATATATCTAATTTCATTTTCATTATTGATAAGTTTTTTTTTTCAATCGAGAGTTTATTCTGGAAAATTAATGGACTCTGCACAACGATGCTTCCTTCGATAAACTTTCTCCAATTTCACCTGTTGCTTTTGGCTTTTTTTTTTCTCTCCATCCTCTTCAGATTTTATTGACTTATGAACATTGAACATCATACATAAATTTTTTGTTCTACTTCATGCATTCTATCAGCATCAGCTTATGTAGTTGAAACTTAATAGAGATGAGAAAGTTTTTTTTGTGCGAGTTTTGATGACAGAAGTGTGTTCGTTGAATCTGTTTTGTCTTGTTAAATATGATGCAGGAGTGGTATTGTTATGATAAGTCATTCATAGAACTCAGATGCCTGATAGCTAGCTTATGTTATAGATATTTATAGATCCTAGGGATCATCCAAAGGGGGAGAGTGGAAAAATTCGTTTTTTCGATAAATCCAATGACGAATTTGGATCTTCAGGCGTTGACAATCTAGATAATAATGTCTGGATTCAAATGTTGTGGATGGCCCGGTTTCTTGAGCTACTCAGAGCATCTTAACATATTATTATTGATTTATTGCACTTTTGTAAACAAAACAAACTTGATAATTGACTAGGATTGGATATCAAGGGAAGTTCCAGAAACCAAAGTGTTCCAACTAAAGTGTTGAATAGAATTAAGCAGAATATTTGTAAAAACTGATGAAAAGTCAGAAAAGCGCTTTGAACAAAGAAACTCAAAGCTTTTCTTACTTTCTTACATGCCACACTCTAGAGTTTTTAATCCAAACTGCCATCATGCTTCAAATTTCAATGTAACCGACAATAACTTTGCTTCTGTTTTGTCTACTTATTAATTTTTATCCGCACTAAGTAATGTGAGAAAGTTGTTGTTTCATTGTTTTTGTCGCTTTGTTGTGACTCCACACAGAATTATACAGTAGATATAAATTTAATGTCCTTTAATCTTGTTTTTTTTTCTTGTCTCCCTAACATCCTATCCTCTTTCTTATACTTATTATCTCTTTTTTTTAGGGACCAAAAAAGAAGGGAGGAAGCTGTAAGTATAATTTTTTATGACATTCAAAATTGGCCGGGGATCATAAAAGAAATTTAAGCTGCTTTATCAACTTTCTTCTTCTTATTTTTATTCTCTGATGATGAATAATAAATGCTTCAGTGAATTTAGAATGCAAAAAAAAAAGTATCAGCGAATTGAGAATGAGAAAATTGAAACGAATCGCCCTTTCCGCATTAGCATCCAATGAACCGTAGAAATTTATTCTGCGATTTTTAAACTTTTTTTTTATATTCGGCAGCAGTGAAAAAAGAAAACTTTTTTTTTATTCTTTTATGCTCGAGGAAATTCAATTGTGGAATGTTCATAAGACATAAAACCCATTCTTTGATGAGAAATGTGGTTTATTTCTTCATGTATTTTTCCATGAGCATCCCACACTTTAAAATTTTTTTACTTATCATTATGAAACAGACGAAAAAAAATGCCACCAGATTTTTGTTATTCTTGAGACATCGAGCGCGCATTTTAAGGGTTAACAAGAAAATATTCTGATATTAAAATATATGATGGGATGGGGATGGGTCAAGGCAATGAATTTACATGCTCAAGGGCAATAAAAGTTATAGTTTTAAATCAATACGTATCATTGATGAAGCGATGTGTAATGTAAGGGGAAAACAACATGATGAGAGAAATTTTGATAGCGATCCTGTCAAAATTTAAGTATCTAGTGAAAAATCAATCATAACTAATTTATCAGAACTCTTTCTCATCATGTTGTTTTCACCTTCGTTTAATCTGAGGCATAAAATCATATAGAATTGAATCTGCCAGAGCGATAGAAAGACTATTGTATCTAAATGGTAAGGTACGAGATAAACATTCCATAATATTGTTTTTTTATCATCATAAAGTGGGTTCAATTCTCCCGAATTTACGAGATATCTTAATCATTACATGGTGATAGATAAAGATTCACAAGGTTAACACAATGTTAATGTTATTAAACTGTGACAAATCCTTCTTTTAAAACAATACATCAGACATGGCGAAATCTAAAGATCCAATCCTAAGATGAAGCAGCAAAAAATTCGCTAAAAAGAAAAGAATAAATTTCAAGAGAAGAAAGTTTCAAAAGCAGAGAGAAAGAAGAAAGAAATTAATAACTTTATGCTTCTACATTTTTTTAAGCTGTCATCGATGGCGTTGACACGGCTGGAATGAGTCGTGAACAACTGGAGGCATTTTGTATCAAACTAAGGAACGAATTAGAACGCGAACGTGAAGAACGAAATTTCTTTCAAATTGAACGTGACAAGTTAAGAACATTTTGGGAGATTACACGAAAACAATATGAGGATTCGCAAGCCATCATACGTAATAAGGAGCGCGAGGTTGAATTGGCGCAGGAGGAAGCTGATTTAGAGATAAAGAATGTAATGCAGCAAATGAAACATCTTCAATATGAGAATCAGAGTCGAATTGGCGAGATGCGAGCTGAAATGATGACACAATTGAAGCTTGCACAAGAAGACCATGCCATTCAGGAACGAGAATTGTTTAATGATAAGCGCGAATTGAAAAAAATCTGTCGAGAACGAGATGAATTTAATGAATTGCAAATTCAGCAGATTAAAATGAAACATTGTGAGCATTTAAGCTTGGAACGAGAGAAGTTTCAGAATGAAATAAAGGAAATGGCAAATTTACATGAGCGTCGTCTGCAAGAATATATGGAAAACTCAGAGATTCGTCATCGAATGGAAATGAGTGAGGTTGAAGAACGAAAGAATAACCAAATAAAGCAATTGATCGATGCACACGAGAAAGCATTTGGTGAAATGAAAAGTTATTATAATGACATAACTATTAACAATCTGGCATTGATAAGTAGCATTAAGGAGCAAATGGAGGAAATGAGACGTCAAACTGAGAGAAACGAGAAGCAAATGGCTGATGCTCATTCAGGTAAATACAGTTTACTTGTTAATTGTTTTACTGCAATTACTTGAACAATTACACAATTTACACTTCACTGCATCTCTTGCTGTGGTTGAAATTTTCTCTTGCAGTGATGACTTTACAGTTTGTTGTGCAGTGCAACTTAGTTGTTTGAGTAAATTTAATTTATTTTGATATGAATTGAATACTAAAGTTTGCGATATTAACTTTGAGGCTCATGATAGATTTGGATAAATATTCAAGGACCAATGTCTAATAATTAAGCTAAAATAGATAACTTTACCCACTGTAATGTTTGAAATTAAGAACAATTCTTAAAATTGTGAACAAATTGAAGGAGCTTGCAACCAGATTTCCTTATTAATTTGAAACCCAATTAAATCGTTAACTCATCTGTGCTGTTCTGTTTATCGATTAACAATTATTTTCTCACATTCCTCCCAATTCAAAGCAGCTCAAAATAAGACTATCGTTGAACCGGTAAAAGATATTCAGGCAGAAACGATTGAACTGCGTAGAAAATTGGAAAATTACCAAAAAGATAAAACATCAATGCTGAAATTGAAAAAACGATGCGATGCATTAAGAAAGCAATTGGATAACATTAAATTCGAGCTCGATGCAAAAGTTTTACATTGTGAGAAATTGAAAGAGGAACGAGATGCATTGAAACAGAAATTTGAGGAAGCAGTTTTAAATGTTCAACAGAGATCCAGTATGTATGATTCTAAATGTCCTTTTTTGTGAATCTAACAACATTTTCTTTGTATTCTTCGAAAGGCCTTAAAAGTGCAGTGTTAGAAAGAAAGCTAAGCTTCCTGGAGAAGGAAACAGAACAGCGTGAATCATTATTGGGTGAAGTGTTGAAAGCATCTAATATCGAGCCAACTGCCATGAGCGTTCGAATAGAAAAACTTTTGTCTCAAAAGAATGAAAAGATTCAAGATCTAAGATATGAACTAGCACGAGTCTCTAAGGCATACGATGATTTATTGGAGATTTACAAATCAAAAATGATCAAGTTTGGAATTCCAATTGAGGAATTTGGCATGATGCCATTTCATCAAAGAAAAATGGCATCATCTGTATCAAGAATGTCACATTGATTTGATATTATTTGAGCTGATTCTTGATTAAAATTAAATTCGCACGTTTGATTTACTTGAAGTAACTTTGGGGAGTCATTTAGATTCTCAGCCCTAGCTAGGTATCTGGATTTGCAACTAAAACTGTTTAAAAATTGATAAATACTCTGCAATCTATATTTAATATCCCTTAGTGTTACACTGTGTTACACAATGTCCAAATGGCTCCAAATACAGTTCAGAGATTTCAATACAAAGAACGTGCTAATTAAAAACACTCTCAATAGCATGAAAGTCAAACATTTAGGTTGAAAACTTAAGATTCCTCTAACAAGTCACAAACATCAATAATTAATGTCCTAATTAATTCATTGCACTTAATATTATGTACATAGCATCTCCTGCAGAAAACATAATGCACGTAAAACTGCAACAGGTTATAACATACACCCATAAAGTCCTTTTGGCATCAATATCCCCTAACAGACAAAGAGCACGCTCTGAACATGCTTTTTAAAAATCAATTATTTAATTTGATGACGCTAAATTAGCGTACTCTCCCATATAAATGGAGATCGCAGTACGGTACCATAAAAATCACGCTCTCAAGAGTACGCTTTTTTTACTTGCAAGTTTTTCATGCAAGTAAAACTTGAGATCATGATCAAGAACATGATCTACTGATCATGCTTTAATTTTACTAATTAAAAAATTTTATGAGCTTGTGATTATGCTATTGATCATGTTTTTCAGAAATTGATATTTTTCTTCTTTTTTGGTGATTGCCGTGATTTGAACCCGAGTCCGCTGTGTTGTGGTATGTCCTAATAACTGTTCATCTTGTCTAATGCCTTCTGAAATTAAATAACTTTCAAATGGCGAAAAGACATATTTAAACTATAGAAAGTCCAAAATAATTTCTTATAATAGTGATTTCTGCTAGCGCTTGTGAAGTATATAGCAAGGATAATTTGAGCATAATCTCATGAGGATGTCAATGATCATGCTTTTTATATACTCTTTTGATCATGCTCTTGAGAGTATATAAAAGATTATGAAGTAAAAACTTGCATACAAGTTCTTTATAATTAGAAGATGATTGAGTCCGCTATTGAACATGCTCTTTACTGGGATCTTGAGAGGATGTTGAAAAAGCGTATTCTCAACCGTACTCTTGATCAAGAGCATGCTCTTTGTCTGTTAGGGATCGATTATTTTCTATAGTTAATTTACCGAGTAGAACAGCAAATGAGAGAGTGATCAATAATGAAAATGAAATCAGATCTGTTTATTGGATAGAAAAGTCCACTAGAGTCCACACATAATTATGTTTGCTCTTCTGATAATAATAGATAGATTGTTTGTTTGTATTTCACATCTCTCTTGACTTTCTACAAGACTGAATGAGGGTACTGTTGTGTGTTGGATATATATTTTTTGTTCATCAGTATGTTATATTTTGAAATAGAACCGAAGGAAGTGAACAAAAATAAAAATCAATACAAATGCCATAAATTGTGCTAGCAAAAAGCGTCAAACATGTGATGCAATTTTGTTCAGAAAAATAGTGTGAATTACGTGCTTGGAATCAAAATCATTCAAATATGTGTGTTAGCATTATTTCGATGAAAAAAAGGAAGAGAGACAAATTATTCGGTACGTTTGTGCCTCAAATTAACTACTTCCGCAAAATTTGCGTCTTCTGTTCTCATATAAAATGTGACTTCTAATGACTTTATAGCTTGTCTGTCTTTTGTCGATTTTTAGTATCCATAATTTTCAATGCAGATACTTTTCTCTCACTAAATTATCAAAAAAAACGACACAACATAGTCTAAGTTAGAACAGACAGTCCACAAAAGATGTCTGCATTTGAAATTCCATTTCACACGCACATGATGTCTCATCAAAACATTTCAATTCGCACAGTCAACGACTTCATGAAAAATTCAACAATTTTTGGGAAAGTTGTTGACCACAGCATGCATGTATCATCATCATCATGTGACATAATAGTATGTTTAATTGATTTTAATGCAGTGTCAAGTGACAAAATTGAAATTGCTATTAGGATTTAAATAAATAAATGAGATGAAATTCTATTCATGAAAAATTCATTATAAAAGCTTTAAATTGAGCTCTATGGTTAGGGTCAAGCTGGCCAAAATTGAAATTTATATTTTTGGGAAATTTTTTCTAAATTGAAAGTATATTTGAGATGATCGTGACTTGACTGTGAAGAAGGGTGATAAAAATTTTCTTAATAAAAATGACAAAAATATAAAATTGAAGATTTTTATTTTTTTTTATGAAATAAAATGGAATGGATGGCGATAAGCTGATTGTGACGATGAAAGTTTTACAAATGTCCTGCTTTTCAGATTGGAAATTACTAGAAGCATTGCTTTTGGAGTCAGTCTAGTAATTTATAAACATCAGAATGACTAAAATGGTTCATTTATATTAGAATTGAAATTTGTGATTATTTTTATAAGACGCTGTGGAAGTAATAGACTTAGTGGCAAGAATTTTTGCCGTCTAGGTCCAAATCATAAAATTGGAAGCCCCTTATCATGGTATTTGGTGAATTGTTTGCCTTTCCCAACTGCTTCGTTATAATCATTGCAGGAACTTACCAAAAAAAAATTGTAAAGCGTGGAGCGAAATTAAGGGTTGTCTCCTTACCTTCTGGATTCCTTCTTTACAATACCACAAAGTCAATACATTAGAAAAAGTTCTTTACATACACAACATCCCGTAAAGGTCTACAAATTCATGCAAAAAGACGGTAAAAATGTCACACAAATATTCCGATTCTACTTTTAACCACATTTGAGACACGAGAAAAGTCCCTCAAAAGCCTCTTATGTCTCTTAGATGTTTTTTGTTTTAAGAAAATTTTACACATTGGAATGCTTACGATTATTAGAAATACACACACAATTTCCACATGTTTACAGCAATTTTTTATTTGTTAATAAATACTTATAACAATACATTTTACTGCCAATAATAATTTAATGTAGAAGAGAGGATTAGAAAGCAAACAAATTTCTCCTCGAAACAACCGAAAAAAGAATGCGTAGATTTTATGAATAAATTTATTGCTATGTAGCATCTGCTGTATTTGTAATTTGTGTAACAATGCGAAGTAATTTTTAAGCATTAGAAATATATATGGCATAATTTTCATTTTTCATATGGAAGATAAAGACGTATTTTATGTTTATTTGAATAATTTTTAGTTCCTAAATATTGCATTTTTTTTCAAACATCACTGCCGCTTCCTAAATTATCATAATCTTCGTCATCATACAGGTTTTGTGGACTTTTTGTTGACACTTTGTAACCTTAAAAAGATGAAAATTTTAAGGAAAGATTAATTTTTGTTAAGACATGCTTAATTATTGAGGGTCGTTTATTTTTTAAGGAAGAGGCACGCGAGGCCAAATCCTTTGCTATGCCACTACATAACTATCAAAAGAATAATCATGGGCTAGTTTCTAAGGCTCCCCAAGATATTCTCCTCAAAAATCGATTGACTTCACTTCAGGGTATACAAAATCTCAGATTATGACTAGGCTAAGCATCACAGGGAGCCTCAGAAACCAGTACAGAAAAAAATAGATCGAATAAAGTTTTTACCTGATCCAGATCCTTCAATTATACTCGTTGTAGTTTTTACTGTTGTTGTGGACGAAGTTGTTGGTGGAACTGTTATACTAAACGTCGTAGTTGTAGGTGCTTCCGTTCTTGAAACTATTGTTGTAAAATCATCGTTATCTGAATAGTCATCTTCAGTTGTCGTCGAAAATGTTGTCGATTCCATCGTAGTTGATGATACTGATGCAGACGTTGTCGTCAACAATTTACTTGTTGTTGTGTCAATTTCTTCAGTTGGATCATAAATAATATTCGTTGTATTTTTGTCTAAGCTACTTGTGTAAGAATTCCCTGTCGAGAGAAAATGATGCGACATTATGAAATTTTTTTCCACCGCAATTTGTTTCATTAAAACCGCAAAACAATTATTTCTTCCGTTTCCCCGCACAAACACACACTCACACACACACATAATTACCGTAGTAATTCATTCTCATGTGGATCTTATGATTCCATAAAAGTATATAAATGTAGCACATGTGAGACAGCTCATATAATGAACTTTAAAGGGTAATTAAAATGAAATATGTTCCTTTTTCATTTCATCTACCAAGTTTTCCGAGTTTTCTCATTTCAATTTTTATTTCCTTATTTCTTATTTCCGACTCTCGTTATTGTGAGTAAACAAAAGGATGAATTACTAAATGAATGAATTTAAGCCTGAGACAAAAAAATGTGAATTGTGATTACACTGAATTTCCTTTTAATATATTTTTTTGATGCACATGATTGCTTTTTAAATATGTAGAAAGTGTAAAGGCTATCGCTACAATTGGATTTTAATGAATTCAGATCTGAGTGACTAAATCTTTGGTTTTTCCAATTTTTATTTGTCATTTTTATCAACTTTGAAGATTTAGAGCGACATGAGTTTGTTTCTCGTTAGATTTCTCTTTCGAGTGGCACAAATGAGTAATTTTGAAATGCTAATAGGCATCTGTCATGGCTCTCTATCTTCAATGATCATCTATTGTGACGTGATCTTGATGAAATCCTGCTTGAAATTTTGTTTTTTGTGTCACTCGAATTAGTGATAGCTTTTAATCTGAGTATCAATGTAAAACTTAAGGAAGGGTCAAGTTATTTGAAAAAAAATATTAAAACTGGGTTCAAGATTTGATTCATTTGAGATTGTAGTACAATTTTATATTACTTATTCTTACTTAAGAAAACAGGAAATTTCACGTTTAAGTAAAAAGATTTCGTAGAAATATTTTGGGATTTCCGCCACAAGATTAGCAATTTACAAAATCAAAAACAATGTTTTTGTACTTTGCAATTCTGAAATATTCTTTTCGATCCTACAAAATCTATCAACATCATATTCTGTAGAAATATGCATTTAATGTCAACGAATCAATTCCATTCACTATCTGTAAACTTTCATTTTTCAAAGAAATTTCTTTCAGACTCGTGACTAGCAATCATCAAAATTTTATTTTAATAATTGAGCTATAAAAAAAAACAATAAGAAATTTGCTGTATACATTCACAAGAAATGATAATAAAGCATTTAATTTTAATCTCATGTGCTGAACTTGACCTCTCTCCGATTTGTTATTCCTCTTAGAAAAATACGTAGAGGTACTTTTAAAGAATTATTAATTGATTTCAGAGCGATTTTAAATGTTGTTGTTTAATTCCTTTTTATGAAAACATTTTTATAATTGAATTAAATTCTCTATAAGACTATTAAAGTGGGGATTTTTCATAGTGATTGAATGTTTTCATATTTATACATTTAATCTGTGTTCTGTTGACATATGACATATTCCCCAGAATGCTTCGAATGAGATTATTTTGAGGATGATTATTAACTTTTTTGCAAACAATTAATTACGGATGAGTAATAGTTGAGTAGACAATGTGGAGTTATTTATTAAGTAAGTGAAAAAAAAGCATTGAGCTTAGAATTAAAATGAATATGATTCATAATTAACACAATTAAAATCATGTAAGACAGTGAATTCTAAGAAAATATATTAATTGAAACCTCTTGAACTTCTCGTTACACAAAGAATGAACAGTCTTCAAGTTTAATTTTTTTGGATTTCATACTTTATAACTTTATATAAATTTGATGCCTAAATGCTCACTAAATGATTCAGAAAAGGTTCTTTATAACTCCAATCCTATCGAATAGCTCAACTTTTGAAAGTTAAAATACAGTTAAGTTTGAATAAGCTGTTGATCATCTAAATATCCTTCCACATCACAAAATTCACCGCAATTAATTCTCATATTCAACTTACAATATTTGTTATATTCATGGATAATTTTATCACGGAAAATAAATCCACCAATGCCTAAGCCAATAATTATAACAAGAGAACTTAATAAACAGCACTTGCCGGACTTCATTATGGCACAATTTGACTGACAATTAACGCGTCGCGAATTCAAATGAGAAGTAAAATAGACGAATTGAGCTTAATATTTGCCTTAAAAAATTGAGTTGATAACGTAATTATTCTTTTATAATCAGGCAGATGTGTATGTGGACATGAAAATATTATTCTCATAAAGAGCAACTTTCGCGACTGCTCTCTCATCATTGATTAATACAACTTTACATCAAGGATCACATTTAAAAGTGGAAAGAAAAAGAAAGAAACTATCGGAATTTTTTTTTATAATAATTAATCATTGTTAAAGTTAACATTTCATTAATTTAATCTACTTAACACTCATCATTGCTACAAAAATTTTTAATAAAGCATTTTTTATGCAAACTCATCAAATTTAAGAGTGAATATACACGGTTTTAAAGGAAGAGATGGGAGAAGAAATTACAAATGTTGTTCGCTGATGAAGCATCCATTAAATTAACATTCGTCTTTCTCCACTCTTTTACATCAAGAATTAGCGTTTTATTATGATTGATTAATTTCGTATTCGTTTTCTTTTCTTTTTGTTATAGCAACAGTAATTAATGAAGTGCCAGTTTTACTGTTCTTTGTTCTTAAGGAAAAAAAATCGGAACTTATTTCTTGCCTATAATGTCGCAAGTCAGCCTGTAATCATTGTTCAGTGAAATACTTTTAAATTTTTTCTTTGTTGAATATTAAATTTGGTTCTCATGAAGTCATCGGATGAAATCAGATGCAATACTTTTCATGATTCACTTTGATAAGAACGCAATAACGAAATATTGCGTATTATGCGCTACACAAGGCTTATGGTTGTTTAATAAGTTGGAGTTTACTAGTCCTTGGATAAATTCTTACTTATCTTTTGAAAGTGCGTGCGTAGCTTGAGTGATTTTTGAAGTCAAAGCCTATCAATTTGCTTATGTTTTTAAAGAAAAATGCTCTGTTATAAGCTATAACAGAAGTTATATATTTTATTGTTTAAAGCTTCAATTACATACTTTTAAATTTTTGATGAACAAACTTATGCAAAATTAGTTGAAGCTTGAATTAATTGAATTCATATGATTTAGTCTTGAATTGTTATTTGATCTAAATTGAGAACGATTTTTATCATGAACTTGCTCGTAGAAATACATAACAACAAGAGCTCCTAATATAAATCCAAATAATATGAAAAACTGTCTTTCCGATAAGCACATTTTTTTTATTTCAACTTTACTGATTCGATTCCGATATTTGACTAAATTATTTTAGCATACGAAAAATAATTCAAGTGTCGATGATGATTTAAATTTTCCTGAGTAATATTATTTATCATAGCCTAATTGTGATTGTTAATTATAATTTATGTAGCATAGTCATTGTAATTTTGAGTATCATTGATAATTCACTTGCTTGAATGAGCAAATTCTTCTTTGATGTATAAAATTTGTTTAAAATAGTCTGGAATTTCAAATTATTATCGAAAATAAGGAATAGTTTAATATAAATTGTTTTAATATAATTGTGGAAAGTAAAAAAAGTCACATTCAGTAAATTTTAGTATTTTGAAAAATCTATTTTCAAATTAAAACTCATGAATACCCATAATTATTTTATTTTATTATCAAAACATTCGTTTACAAAAACTGTTAAGAGTTCCATCTTATTATTGATTTAAGTCTCCATTTCCTTTTTGATCTGGAGAGAACTTATTTGATAGTTGTTGGAAAAAATGTAGATTTTGATTATATGTAGACAGAATAACTCCAATTGCAATCAATCCTACAACAATTCCGGCGCACAATACACACATCTTTTCAGAAACACACATTTTATCTATTTTTCAGCTGTTTCCTTCCACGTTTAAAATTTGAATAAAATTAATACAGCTTAAGTCACTCGATATATCTACATGAATTAGTGATTTAATCCTTATAAAATGATTCATACAGATCAAGTAATTTTTCAGATGAATTTTCAAGAATTCAAACAATCCAAATATTCACAACACGAGACTTGATTGTAACCTTTTGAATTTTGAATTTATTCATTATTTTCCTTCACTTAACCTCATTTAATTCTGTTAATTTAAAAATTTTAATAACGTTCCTATTACATCATTTACAAATTTTCCTCCAATGCCTGGTTCAGATTTTGTTTCACCATCATTTATAAATTTTTCGTAATATGCGGCATAAAGAAACAATCCAATTACAAATCCAACAAAAAATATTAGAATACTTCCTTTTAGGCACATTTCAAGCCTGACTTTATGCTTAAATGTACACAACTGAAATGAATTACATTTGGTGCTGTTTTGATGTGATGATTAAGAACTCGATAATCATTTTAAATAATAAAATTATCATAGTTTATATTTATCTCGTCATTTTAGTCAATTTCATCAAGGCAGTACATGCAAGTAATACTTATTAAAGGGAAAAATATTATATTAAACGTACTGGAGATTAGATGTACATGGGTAAGGTATATTACATTACTTTAATTTGAATATCAGAATGAACTCATGCATACTCATTTTTTTATCCAAAAATTGTGATTTTTGTGGCAAAGTCACGAAAGACTTATACAAAATACAAATCAATTAGCTAACGAAATTCTAATCATTGAAAGTTGTGGATCAAAATTCTATCTGCACAATCTTACCTGTTGTTTGGCAGCCTTAAAAATCTTCTACATACCTTGGATAGCAAGGCTTAAAGAGAAAGTTATGATTCTCAATATTAAAGCTAAGCACATTGACATAAGAGACTTGTACCTGAATCCTACAAAAGTCATGCACAAATCAATCCAACTAGTCAACAAAAATTTCTTTTAAAATTATTCAGGATATGAATCACTGTAAAATTTTAATTTCCAGACAAATGAATCAGAAACAGTATTGTTTAAAAAAAATCATGTAAACGTTGTGTGCAGGGGCGTAGCCAGAAAATTTTTAAGGGGGGGCCCATTTTCGAAAATTAGAAAACCGTTGTTTTGTATCCTTAAATCTATATTCATTCTTCATAAGTTTAAATATTTAATTCATTATTCATACATTAAATTTAATTTTTCGTGCTGATTTTGACATTTCTTTCATCACTTCTTCTACATCAACTGGTTCTTCTCTATAAATACTTAATAAAACAATTATCAGATTTTCGTAGGGGGGGGGCCGGGCCCCCTATGGCCCCCCCCTGGCTACGCCCCTGGTTGTGTGGATGTAAGCTTAAGTAACGTTTGTTTATGTCGCGTTAAATTTACTCTCACATCAAAACATGTGACTTGTTATTTTATTTCCAGTGATAATACGCTCGATTATTGATTTTAAATTGAACATCTTTTTTTTCAATAAAACAACGGAAAGTGTTTATTGCTGACTCTTTATTGCCCCCTTTTTATGTTTATAGATTATTTTATGCTGATAAAAATGCAAAACAAAATGACTCAGGAAGAGAGATCTGCGGTTAAATTGTGATTGCATGTAAATCTGATGACATAAAGTCTTTGATTTTTTTTCATGATTAATCATTTTCGGTATGTATGAATGGCTTACTGATGATAGAACTCATTTGAATTGTAAATGAAATGATTCACTCGCAGTGATATTGCCATTCAATAAGTTTTCATTATTTTGTTCCTCACTCAATAAAAAAAAGCTAATAGAAATTTATGAGAATTTTTTTTGTGTGCTGTTGCTGAAAATGCTTGTCAAACAATTTATTCAACATAAAAAAATCTGTTGAACATAAAATTGCATGTTAACTATTTGTTCTAGGATTATCGGCGTCTATCTGAATAACTATAATGAATGTATAATCTGCTGTCAAATTTTGTTTTTTTGTATTGGTGCGTGAATAATTTTATTCAATT